ATCAATAGGAAACTTTGATAGATTATGATCCACTTTTTTGAAACTCAAATTATAGTCAAAAAAATATTTTATTTAAAGTATTCAGTGTTCTCCCCAGGCCCTTAAAGGACCGCGGGCCCGCGATGTATAATTTTTTACCGTGGTGGTATCGTTCTTACCGCGATGTATAATTTTTCTCAGTGGTGCTAAAATTTTCAGTTAAAAAATCGTAAATCGGTAAAGTTTTAAACGACTTGTTAAATCTTTTCCGTGCGGTATTAAATTCCAGGTGAAATTTGACCAGTTCAAACCAGTTCAACACAGATTGTTTACACCACGTGATCGATTTACCTTATGAGGTTAACCTTGTTGATTGGATTTAATCGATGTAATTAACACTTGTAACATGATTCTTTTGTGTTTTAATTAAGAGTTCATAACTTTATGATCACAGATAACTATTTTATGGCTTCACTCTCCACCCAAGCACTGACCTGTGACAAGTCAGCAAATAATTTGTACACAAACAGTGTCTTGACCCGATAGGTACATTTTTTGTACATCATAATGGTGGCTCATTACGTATAATGGACAACTATACATTCCCAATTCTTATATTATAGTATTATATGTCTCTGATTAAACCATGGCCAATATTATCTTTAATTATGACATAGTTATTGCATGATAGTCGGGTTTCAAACTGTAGTATCTGTCTGTACATATCACATGACCCAGTTAGTTCACGTAGAATATTCAAGTTTATTTACAATTAATTGCAATCTATTATATTTTATAAATAAAATGCATGACTGTACCTTCAAACTGGATATCTATATCCATAATTAATGAATAACAGAAGTAATCTTGCAAATTTTATCCATAAGCACATGTTAAATCTATTTATATCTACTTCCAGTCATTTAGGCGGGAAAATAGGGAGACTTAGTTGTTGACATTGAATATGGTTACTTATAGATCTATAGACCAAAGATAAATTTATAGATTTAAGAATTCTTTTTAAATGGTTCATGACAAATAAAAATTTAGATTTTAGGGCAGTATTAAGTCTGTATCTATGTTTGATTATCACCAAAGACAAGAAAGGTTAATATTTACATGAAATCTATGGCAAAATGTTCTAAAATTTATGAAAAATTTCTTTTTATTAAAATTTAAGATAGAAACTTGGTTCAAATAATAAAACAATATTTGCAATTGTTCTTGTTAATTTTATATCTTCTTTATATGACAGGAATCCTTTCGTATACAACAACTTTTTTTCTAAAAACTAGAAAGTTTTTTAAATTGAACATTTTTGTTCTCTTTTGAATGATATTTTATTTTTATTGATTTTGGATTTTATAAAAGATTTAATTACTTTAAATTCAGATGAATATTTTATTATGAATCATAATTTATTTATTTAAAAAAATATTAAAGTATACAAACTTTTTTTTTATTTACTTCTTTTTTAACAATAATTTTCTGAATCAATGTCTACATAACACAGTACCACAGTGTTAAAACAAAACAAGAGACATAAAAACTACAGTACATTTATGTAACTAGAGCTAAGCGACGCGACGCGACACAACTGATTGCATGAAATATTTCACCAAGAAGTCCACACACGTTACCCTGGTGCTATCCAAAAATCCTGGGGAGAACACTGAGTATTTACAATGTTTTAAACAGCTGGTCTCATTAAAAAGTATCATGCATGGTGTATTGTTTAAACAGGGTCCCAGATAGCTTCAACTGGATGAAAAAGTTGTGTAATTTTAGAACTTATCCGGAATAGAATAAATAGTGATTAGGTGTATTGGCATTGCTGCTTTCTCACTGGAGAGACCTGAAAACATGCCAGGGTAGGAGTTGAATCTTGAACAAATGCCAAAGGCTAATTTCTACCCTACTCTCACTACTTTCACTTTCAACAGTTAAGTTTTTCTTCAAGTTATACTTATTTCAATACATATGCATTGAATTTAAAGGTCCACTTAAACAGTAAACTTTTCAAAGAAAACTCCGGAAGAAATACCCCATATAAATCTTGGGAACTACGATGCAGTCTGGTAAATCCGCCCACATAAGGTTTTGATCATATAATGTATGTATTTCTGCTTAATTATATACAAATTGTATCAAATTTAATATAAATTGTTCACTGGCAAATCAATTTTGAGTAGTTTATCTCATTTCCCAAAATATATCTGAAATAAATTTTAAAATCAACAAAACAAGTGGGTCATCTGTGCTTTTATCGAAAATGTGTTTGTCCTGTAAATCCACCCATACGCAGTAAATATGTATGGAGGGCCAGTTTATCACATATTTATGAAAGGAGAAGGTGATCTATTAATAGACCACTGATTAAGGGATTCCAGATAATAAAAAAAAAAAAAAAAATTCAAGTTAGAAATGAGTTTTGTAAGTAATAATATGATTATCTTTACTTTAGGAACTGTACAAATGTATTATATATATCACTAGATATTTTCGTAATAAAGGATTTTTCTTTAAAATTTGACATGCAGTGATGATAAGTACAATTCTTGTGAATAAAATAGCAGACGAAATATCTACGGAAGTGGCAAATACGGAAGTAAATGGGAGGGGGCGGGTTTACTGGACAGGCAGAATTACCGGACACTACTTATATACATTTTTGTAAACCATGAATAAAGGAATTATTGTGATCTGAAGCCATCAATTCCCTTACATACGAGGTTTGTAAAGGGATTACATGTATGTGCAAGAAAAGTGATGAATGAAAAATAAAAAATAGCTTACTTTTAGTTACGTTTCCAACAATTTGCAAGAAACAAGGTGTACATGTATAACAAGCTACAAGCAGAAAACACATGAAATATAGTTAATTGCAAACACTTGGCTTGAAAATAAGCCTTTACCACCCCCTTGTACAGTACTGAATGGGGCAGTTCAAAGATGAACTACATGTTAGCCTGTTTTCTTGTCTGAATAGGGACAACTTCATCATATGTGGACGAAGTCCTCAATAACAGTAGAAATATTAGTTCTAATCATTTGTCTCTTCTGGTATCGTTTGTCTCAGGGCATTGCTCAAACAGTCTGCACCGTTAACCACTAGTCCGATGCCCCAGACAAGTAAGTTTTTGCAAAAGTTTGTTCAGCCACATAAGAAACATGTTGGAAAATTGGTCTTCTGACTAGATGTTGGAAAAGATTTAGGTGCAGACTGCATAAAATATAAGGAAGGAGCATCATAGGATTTCCTGCAAATTTGTTGTGTCTGATTTAATACCTAAAGAATATTCTTTATATATACGATTTACTAGCAAACAAAGTGAGTTGCCTGGGAAAACTCACTTAATCAATCAGGGATATTTGTAGCTGATAAGGAGTCTGATAAACGAAGATTAATACATATATGTAATAAGCAGACTTTGTAGCTTTGTCATTTTAAGGTGTAAACTATTATACTTTTATTTAAATAATACTTTGATATGAAAAAAACCTTACTTGAAGATAGTGTTTCTTTATTTACATTGAAAATGATTTCATACATGTACATGTAACTAAAATCCATAAAACAGGACCAACATCAGGAACACAAGACAAATGGTAGTTACAAGACAACCCACAATTCAGTAATCTCACAATATATATTCCAACATACATCATATATATACATGAAGATACACTATGTGTGTGCTTTCTTGAATGGCACTCTTGTACAGTCTCAAAAATTGAAAATAAGATTGCCCTAACAACCCTTTTTTTCATGCCAGTGCAAATTAAGTGGCCATTGCGTACCTTTGTCCATGTGACCATCTTATTCTTTCTAAAATCAAACAATCCAGGAATCATTTACATGTTTGGGAAATAAATACATGTAGATACAAAAAAATAAAATCAACATGATCAAGTAGTAGTGTAGATTACAATGCCAAGAAGAAGTAGTTATCTACACAATGTGTTGTTTGATAACATTGTAAAATCTAGTATTTTTTTGTTAGCTCACCGGGGCCCGAAGGGCCCCATGTGAGCTTATGCCATCACTTGGCGTCCGTCGTCTGTCGTCGTTGTCTGTCGTCGTAAACTATTTAAAAAATCTTCTCCTCTGAAACTACTGGGCCAAATACTTTCAAACTTTAACTAAATGTTCCTTAGGGTATCTAGTTTATAAATTGTATCCGAAGTTTTGATCCATCGACAAACATGGCCGCCATGGCTAAAAATAGAACATAGGGGTCAAATGCAGTTTTTGGCTTATATCTCAAAAACTAAAGCTTTTAGAGCAAATCTGACATGGGGTAAAATTGGTCAAGATCTATCAGCTCTGAAATTTTCAGACGAATGGAACAACCCATTTTTGGGTTGCTGCCACTGAATTGGTAGTTTTAACAAAATTTTGCAGTTTTTTGTTATTATTTTGAATATTATTATAGATATATATAAACTGAAGCAGCAATAATGTTCAGCAAAGTAAGATCTACAAAAAAGTTAATATGACCAAAATTGTCAATTGATCCCTTAAGGAGTAATTGCCCTTTAAAGACAATTTTACACAATTTGTTCATCAAGTTTGCTAACATTTAAAAATCTTCTCCTCTGAAATACAGGTGAGCGATTCAGGCTCTTGAGAGCCTCTTGTTTATTAAAGTGCAAAATTTTATGTGTTAACATAGAGTACTTGCATTGTATATATAAATAGTATGGATAATTGCAGATGGGGCCAGGAGGAGAAAGTGGGGGGGGGGGGGGGCTTATTAACCAATGAGACAGCAACCCAAAGAACCCAAAATAAAACAATAATAGACATATACAGGTTTGTTAGATATGAAACAGTATACAGTTAGCAAAACTATAAAAATCAGTTGAAAAGAGCTTAACTCATCAGATCGATACAAAGCAGAAAAACATCTAACAAAAGCACAGACCGGACGTGGCAGGGAATTTATACATTCATCACAACACAAAAGACAAAGTACAGATCTTGAGTTGTATGTTTTATTTTATTTTACATGTAGATATAAAATGAATGAAGATACAGCAAGATTCAAGTGTGTAAAGAAAGGATGTAACTTTGATGGGGTCAAAGGTGAAGCTATTTATCATGTGGTCAAAGAACATGCTCCTATTCATACAGTGCCATTTTATTGTTCTCTCTGTGGGTACAGATGTTTCCGTTTACGACAGCTGCAAACTCATGTTCAAAAATGGAAATTTCACCAACGTTTATCAAGCGGGAGCCATGAAGATGATGTTAAAAGCTTGTGTATATCAAGCACCCCATATCAAGTCACATGGGGACCTGTCTATGATGGTAAAGTGGACCTCATAATAGTAGGTTTATTTTTTAGGGTTGTTAGTTTTATGCTAAAAAAAATACTATATAGAAGGGCAAAATGAAATCCAAAAGTTGATACATTGTAACATATGTCAAATATTCTATTAGGGCTAAATAAAAGTCAAAAGTTGACACATTGTAACATATGTCAAATATTCTATCAGGGCTAAATAAAAGTCAAAAGTTGACACATTGTAACATATGTCAAATATTCCATCGGGGCTAAATAAAAGTCAAAAGTTGACACATTGTAACATATGTCAAATATTCCATCAGGGCTAAATAAAAGTCAAAAGTTGACACATTGTAACATATGTCAAATATTCCATCAGGGCTAAATAAAAGTCAAAAGTTGACACATTGTAACATATGTCAAATATTCCATCAGGGCTAAATAAAATTTAAGTCAAAAGTTGACACATTGTAACATACAGTTGAACCTCGTTGTGTTGAACCTTGTTGTGTCGAAAACTCAGATGAGTTCAAGTAATTTCTTGGTCCTGGTAAAATTCCTGTTTGATCAATGCATATTTACCTCCAGATGAGTTAAACTCGGTTGATGCAAATACTCAGTTAAGTCAAGTAAACTTTATAGCCCCGTCAATGTAAAATTAATGTAAATTGACCCTGATGTCTCGAAGTTCAAAAGTAAGAAATTTCTAAAGATGCAGACAATGATATAATTCAAATTGGATGTATTTCTTATGCAACCTAATCATTTTCAAAAGAGATTAAAGCTGTGTAAACATACATGTTTGTATATAACTGTTAAAATGACATGTTTATGGTGACCGGTAATTAACACCTTTGTTAGTTTGCTTATCCTGAAGGCTTTTGCCTCTCACAATACCAATTGCTCAAATAGTTTACCAAATTGCAGTTTGAATTCATCTCCACAAACTGATCAACTGGTAAAATATTTAAGGTAATCGCTTAAGTGAAAGGTTTGTTAGAAAGAAGTGAGTGCAGTGAAATAAAAATTATGCTTGCCATCCAACTTCAGTTTTTATTTAATTTGTGTGTGTGTAATGTTATTGAAATAAAATAATCACCTACTATAATATAATTAAGGCACTGGTTTAAAAAGGTCTGAGTTTGACATGAAAACTTTTAAATTATCCTACACAAAGTTTATAAATAACCAGTTCAAAACATTGTTTTGTTGAATAATAATTTATAGCTTTGTTTTCTAACAGGAAGTTTTGTTTTTATACGACCGCAAAAAATTTTGCAGTCGTATATTGGTATCACGTCGTCGTCGTCCGAAGACAGTTGGTTTTCTGACAATAACTTTAGTACAATAAAATAGAAATCTATGAAATTTAAACACAAGGTTTATAACCACAAAAGGAACTTTGGGATTGATTTTTGGGGTTATGGTCCTAACAGTATAGGAATTAGGGGCCAAAAAGGGGCCCAAATAAGCATTTTTCTAGTTTCCAGACAATAACTTGTGGAACGGTGTATGGATCTCTCTGAAATTATACCACAAGTTTCCATACCATAAAGGGATGGTTAGGATTTGATTTGGGGGGTGGGGGGGTTATGGCTCAAACCGTTCAGGAATTAAGGGCAAAAAAGGGGGAAAAACATGGGTTTCCTGGTTAATGGACAATTAAGACAATTTAAAAGCAGTGTAAGGGAGGTAATCCAAACACAACATTTTGATTACCTCCCTTACACTGCTTTTAAATTATGTATAAAGAAAGAAACTAAATTTTCCAAAGAAAAAAATTGGGATCACAATTTATTTTGCTAATTCTTTGTATATAGTCTGAAAACAGATTTACTAAGTATTGCACAACAGCACAGTGTATTGCACAACAGCAAGAAATCTTCAATTGAATATAAATTCAAATCATACATTTGGATTCCAGACAATAACTTTAGTTTAAGTTTATGGATCTCTATGCAATATAACCAAAAGGTTCAATACCACCAAAGGAAGTTTGAGATTGTTTTTGGGGGTGATGGTCCAAACTGTTTAGGAAATAGGGGTCAAAACAAGCATTTTTCTAGTTTCAGGACAATAACTTGTGTATAAGTATTTTGATTGCTTTGAAATTGTACCAACAGGTTCAATACCATAAGTAAAAAAAAAAATTTTTGGGGTTCAATTTTTTTCCCCTCAAGATTTAAGAAATTGTCAATTTTCCAAAGAAAAAAATTGGCCCAGGGGGCACAATTTATTTTGCTAATTCTTTGTATATAGTCTGAAAACAGATTTACTAAGTATTGCACAACAGCACAGTGTATTGCACAACAGCAAGAAATTTTCAATTATATATAAATTCAAATCATACAACTAATTTCAAGTTCTTTGACTACATTTATTCCGTGTCAGAAACCTATAATCATGATAATGTGTCAAATATTTAATTACAATCCAAATTCAGACCTGTATCAAGCTTGAATATTGTGTCCATTTTTGCCCCAACTGTTCAGGGTTGGACCTCTGCTGTTGTGTCCAGTTGTGCTTGATGAAGCAGTTTATGAAATAGTTTGTGATCATGAGCACTTTATAATATGAATGTGCAACTAATGAATGAAATTTAAAAATGTAAATTTCAATTTATTGGCCTCTACATGCACAGAAATAAATAATTATTGGATGTGCTGATCACACTATAAATTCATAAGACAACAAATGGGTACAGTAGATTCCACCTAATCGAATATTCAGTTAGATGGAGTTATAGGCTATTGTAATGAATGTTATTTCAAAACTTTTTAAAAACCCTTTCCTATATCACATGTATATAGTTAAGCTAAATTTCATTATGTAATTAAGTATAAGAATATATTGGCCAATTGGATAGGTATATTCATGAAAATTGTATCAGAACCATGTACAATCGAATATTTTAAAATAATTTCAACTAAGATATAGACTAGTTCAGTTGTATTATTATTTTTCAGTATCAGCCAACAGTTAAGAATATTGGACTAACATCGTCAACCACATATAGTCAGCCACAGCAACCTATTAGACAGAACAGATTTCACGATAATCCAGCAACTACCTCTGCCTTTCAGCCGTCTTTCTCATCATCATCATCGGGTAAAGTCCATATCCAAGGAGTTATAGCCCAGGCTCAGCATGCACTGGATTCATTGGCTCCGGCAACTGGTGCTGTTGTTCCTTGGACAACAGGTATGACGGGACAACAACATTCTATTCATCCTCCTCCCATGCAACCGAGTGTTCAGCCAACAGGTGTAGTAAGCTATGCCAACCCTTATCTTCAATCTGTTAGTACTGCAGGATTCTATCCTAGTCAGCAATTTCTGCAACCAGGAGTAATGGCAACAACAGGTCTGGGAACTCAGGTAAAAATGAATTTACTTTAGATTTTCTTGGGGAAATTCATGTATGCCATTGAGTTACAATGTTTTCTTTTCTGTTGAATCGTTTATTTTTGTGGGAACCAATTTTCGTTGATAGAGGAAAAATTGTATTTTCATGGATACTAGATTTAGTGCTTTAGCTGTACATGTATTAGTTTACATATAAGCCTATAGAAAATGTGTACTTTGTTGAACATTGAAATTTGTGGTTAGCCTATACCCACATCTGAATCCGCAAAAATTGGCATCTTACAAATAATTATGATTTCACAGTAGTTGAACATGTACATGTAACTAAAGGTTGTGTTTATATGAACATGTACACTAACTTGACTGAGGCACATTTCACAGAGAATATAACATGTACAATGTAAAAGTCACAGAATTTATATAGGAAATTAATTTTTTTAATAATTAAGTTTTACCCTTGTCCGTCTGTACGTACGAACGCCCCAAAATTGGTTTCCGTTCTCTAACTTGAGTTTGCCTCAACCAAATGTTTTGAAACTTATACACTATGCTTTATACAACAAAACACAGATCAAGTTTGAATTTTGGTGGCGTCACTATAACCGTTCTAGAGTTATGCCCTTTTATAAATGGAAAAATTGCAAAATTTTTAGTTTCCGTTCTCTAACTTAAGTTTGCCTTAACCAAATGTTATGAAACTAATACACAATGCTTATTACCACAAAACACAGATCAAGTTTGAATTTTGGTGGCATCACTTTTACCGTTCTAGAGTTATGCCCCTTTATAAATGGAAAAATTGCAAATTTTTTAGTTTCCGTTCTTTAACTTATGTTTGCCTCAACCAAATGTTATGAAACTTATACACAATGCTTATTACTACAAAACACAGATCAAGTTTGAATTTTGGTGGCATCACTTTTAACGTTCTAGAGTTATGCCCCTTTATAAATGGAAAAATTGCAAAATTTTTAGTTTCCGTTCTCTAACTTAAGTTTGCCTCAACCAAATGTTATGAAACTTATACACAATGCTTATTACCACAAAACACAGATCAAGTTTGAATTTTGGTGGCGTCACTTTTATCGTTCTAGAGTTATGCCCCTTTATAAATCGAAAGATTGCAAAATTTTTAGTTTCAATTCTGTAACTTAAGTTTGCCCCAACCAAACATTATGAAACCTATACACAATATTCATTACCATAAAACTAAGATCAAGTACAAATTTTTTGTTTCCGTTTTCTTACTTTAGTTTGCCTCAACCAAATATTCAGAAACTTATACACAATGCTTATTACTACATAATACAGATTAAGTACGAAATTTGGTGAGAACACTTTTACCATTCTTGAGTTATGTCCCTTTATAAACATAAAAATTGCTGAATTTTTAGTTTCCGTTCTCGAACTTTAGTTTGTCTCAACCAAATGTTATAAAACTTATACACAACCGTTCTAGAGTTATGCGTGTTTACAAATAGAAAAATTGCTGAATTTTTAGTTTCTGTTCTCTACTTAAGTTAGCCTCAACCAAATGTTATGAGACTTACACACAATGCTTATTACCACAAAACTCAGATCAAATTCAAATTTGGGTAGTGTCACTTTTACTGTTCTTCAGTTATGTCCCTTTATAACAATATTTTTAAATATATATTATGTCTAGATTTACCAGACCAAATTGCTGCACAAAATCTGTGATCTATTTTGACCTTTAAAACCAAACATTTTAAATATATTTTTGTGTTATGTTTTTCTTACAGCGTTAAATATCTGAAATGATAGAGTTTGTCAATAAAGCATTGTTTGGCCTTTTTCTATGACCGCAAAAAATTTTTGCGTTCGTATATTGGTATCACATCGGCGTTGTCATCTGCGTCAGCGTCGTCCGAAGACATTTGGTTTCCGGACAATAACTTTAGTTTAAGTGTATGGATCTCTATGAAATTTAAGCAAAAGGTTCAATACCACAAAAGGAAGGTTGGGATTGTTTTTGGGGGTGATGGTCCCAACCGGTTAGGAATTAGGGGTCAAAAAGGGTCTAAAACAAGCATTTTTATACGCCCGATTACGGGACGTATTATGGTATACCGTTGTCCGTCTGTCCGTCTGTCGTCAACATGTCGGACATTTACTCAAAAACGCTTAAACCAATTTGCATAAAACTTTGGTGAATTGTTTATACCTATTGACGTGAGCTCCATTTCATTTTTTATAAATTTTAGATTTTACATTTCCGAGTTATGGGGTTTTATTCATTAAAAAAAGGGGGATTTTCCAGTTTTCAGACAATAACTCAAGAATGTTTTCACCAACTTGCAAGAAATTTTGGTTAATTATTTATATCTATTGACATGAGCTCCCTTTTGATTTTTATAAATTTTAGATTTTACGTTTCCAAGTTACAGGGTTTTATTCATAAAAAAAAGGGGATTTTCCAGTTTTCGGACAATAACTCAAAAATGCTTTCAGCAGTTCTCACGAAACTTTGATGAACTGTTGATATCTATTGGTGTAAGCTCCCTTTAGAATTTTATAAATTTTAGATTTTACATTTCCGAGTTATGGGGTTTTATTCATTAAAAATGGGGGGATTTTCCAGTATTCAGACAATAACTCAAAAATGCTTTCAGCAATTCTTATGAAACTTTGGTGAATTGATTATATCTATTGATGTAAGCTCCCTTAAGAATTTTATAAATTTTATTTGTTTATAGTCTGACAACAGATTTACTAAGTATTGAGCAACAGCATAGTGTATTGCACAACAGCAAGAAATCTTTAATTGAATATGAATTCAATTCATATAACCAATTTCAAGTTCTTTGACTACATTTATTCAGAAACCTATAATATGTCAAATATTTAATTACAATCCAAATTCAGACCTGTATCAAGCTTGAATACTGTGTCCATTTTTGCCCCAACTGTTCAGGGTTGGACCTCTGCGGGTGTATCCAGCTGTGCTCAGCGAAGCAGTTTATTCTAGTTTTCAGACAACAACTTGTGTTTAAGTGTATGGATGTCTCTTAATTTGTACCACATTTTACAAAAAGAAAATTTCTTCAAAATTATTTTTTTTGGAAAGAGAGAGAGGGGGGGAACAATTTTTTTTGGGGGGGGGCAATTTTTTTTCCTAAAAAGAAAATTTTTGGAGGGGGGTAAAAAAAAATTTTGGGGGGAGGGGTCAATTTTTTCCCCCTCAAGATTTAAGAAATTGTCAATTTTCCAAAAGAAAAAAATTGGGGGTCACAATTTATTTTGCTAATTCTTTGTATATAGTCTGAAAACAGATTAACTAAGTATTGCACAACAGCAAAGTGTATTGCACAACAGCAAGAAATCTTCAATTGAATATAAATTCAAATCATACAACCAATTTCAAGTTCTTTGACTACATTTATTCTGTGTCAGAAACCTATAATGTGTCAAATATTTAATTACAATCCAAATTCAGACCTGTATCAAGCTTGAATATTGTGTCCATTTTTGCCCCAACTGTTCAAGGTTTGACCTCTTCTGTCATATCCAGCTGCTCTCGGCGAAGCAGTTTATTCTCTGCTCTATGCATTTTGTACTTGATACTCAGAATAAAAATATATCCAATATATTCAACTTTAATGGAAGATATATAATTAATGCAACTGAATTCCCTGATAATAAATATGTTCCATATTGGAACAGATACAATACTTTGGTATAAATAAAAAATGTTTTAAGAAAATAAAACAAATGTCCAACTGACCGTGCCCATTTTAGGTTTGAAATCGGAAATACAGAAAAAAAAAATTCTTGACATAACTGAAGGATGATAAGAAATGGTTGGCATTAATACAAATGTGAAAATATAAAAATGAAACTAGGTTTATCTGCTTTACACAACAGTTACATATACATTGAACATGTATTTACAAAATGTGCTTAGTAGTCAAGAGTAGTAAAAGATTGACCCTGGATATTGTTGAATAAAGCAGATGCAAGACTTTCATGCTATTTATTTTGGGCAAATTTATTTACTACCAAGCATTTCTCATTGGTAATTGTTAAATCAAACAAAGTTTTTAACTATGATACTTATTTGATATTTCAAATGATATTTTCATGATGCAACATACATTTGTACTCATGTAGCATGGTCAAGCTTTCGTTATTTGAATTCAGAATGTTACATTTCATGGAGGGGTGAGGGTGAGGGAGAGTTTTTAACATTAAGCTGAAAAAGAAGAACAGTACTTTTTATACGACCACAAAAAAATTTTGTGGTCGTATATTGGTATGACGTTGGCGTCGTCGTCGTTTTGTCGTCGTCGTCGTCGTCCGAATACACAATGGTTTTCGCACTCTAACTTTAGTTTAAGTGAATGGATCTCTATGAAATTTTACCATAAGGTTCAATACCACAATAGGAAGGTGGGGATTGATTTTGGGGGTTATGGTACCAACAGTTAAATAATGAGGGGCCAAAAAGGGGCCGAAAATAAGCATTTTTGTAACTTCCAGACATAACTTGTGTGTTATTGTATGGATCTCTTTGACATTGTACTACAAGATTCCATATCACAAAGGGTCGATGATGGGATTGATTTTGGGGTTAATTTCCTCGAAATTTTAGGAATAAGGGGCCAAAAGGGGGCAAAAAACAAGCATTTTTCTAGTTTCATGACAATAACTTGTGTGTAAGTGTATGGATCTTTCTGAAATTTTACTACAAGGTTCCATTTCGCAAAGGGAAAGCTGGAATTGAGTTTTGTGGTAATTGCCCAAAACGTTTAGTAATAAGGGGCCTAAAAAGGGGGGAAAAATAAGCATTTTTTAGTTTCTAGACAACAACTTGTGTTCAAGTGTATGGATCTCTCTAAAATTGTATTACAAGGTACCATACCACAAAGGCAAGGCTGTTATTGAGCTTGGTTTGGGGGGGAAGGGGGGGTGATGAATCATAGGGGGGGGTCAAAAAAGGGGTAATTATTTTTTTTCGTTTAAGGAATAAGGGGAAAAAAGGTTAAAAAACTAGGGTTTCCATTTTAATAGACAAATAATTGAGTAAAGAACATTATTTAAAAGCAGTGTAAGGTTGGTAATTCAAACTCATTTAAATATCTCACCTGCACTATGTTTGAATTATGTAAATTGGAAATTTGCCAATTATTTTAGTATAATAAACTTCATTGGAAATTTGCCAATATAAAATTTTGCTGATGAAGGTTTTTTGTTTACCTTTAGTCTGACTATGATGTCATTTTCTATTTTAATAGCCTTATGATGTACATGTAGTTAAATTTTTTTTAATACTTTTATGATGTATTTTAATGCGCTTTTATGGTTGCAAATTTATTGTTTTAATATAATAAACTCCATTGGAAATTTACCAATAGTTTGTTTATTTTTAGCTATGACTATGATGTCATTTTCTATTTAATTTTAAGGTTACAAATTAATTTCAGTTTTAAATATTATTGTAAAATGTTTGCCCAAAACATTTATTAATAAGTGGCCAAAAAAGGGGGCAAAAATAAGCATTTTTTTAGTTTCCAGACATTAACTTGTGTTCAAGTGTATGGATTTCTCTGAAATTGTACTTAAAGGTACCATACCAAAAAGGGAAGTGGGTCAAAAAATTTTTGGGGGGGGGATTTTTTTTCCTTTTTTTTTTCTTTAAAATTTTCCATTTTAAGTTGGTTAATTCTGATCACAAAGAGAAAGTTGGAATTGAGTTTGGGGGATAATTGCTCAAATGTTTAGGAATAAGGGGCTAAAAAAGGGGTTAAAAATAAGCATTTTTTTTTTAGTTTCCAACAATTGTGTTTAAGTAATTGGATCTCTGTGAAATTGTACTGCAAGGTACCATACCACAAACTGAAGGCTGGGATTGAGTTTGGGGGGGCGTGATGTGTGAAAATTTTCCACTTAAAGTTGGTTAATTATTTCTGATTTAGATATAAAAGCAAATAATAATGATGTGGTTTGATTTTATCAAAAACTTAAATTGAAGTTATGTATATTGTAAATTTAGGTTACATTGGAATTTAAGAATTGGCTTTGGGGTAGGGTTATGGCTCAAACCTTTAAATAATAAGGGAAAAAAAGGTGAAAAAACAAGGGTTTCCAGGTTAATAGACAAATAAGTACAAAACATTATTTAAAAGCAGTGTAAGGTTGGTAATTCAAACTCATTTAAATATCTCACTTACACTGCTTTTAAATTATGTAAATTGGAAATTTGCCAATAACTTTATTGTTAATAAATGCATTGGAAATTTGCCAACAATTTTAGTATAATAAACTTCATTGGAAATTTGCCAATATAAAATTTTGCTGATGAAGGTTTTTTGTTTACCTTTAGCCTTGACTATGAAGTCATTTTCTATTTTTATAGCCTTATGATGTAGTTGAATTATTTAATACTTTTATGATGTGTTTAAATGGGGTTTTATGGTTGCAAATTTATTGTTTTAGTTTAATAAACTCCATTTAAAATTTGGTAATAAAAAAAATTTTTGTTTATTTTTAGCTATGATTATGATGTCATTTTCTATTTTACTTTTATGGTTGCAAAGAAATTTTTATTTTTAGATATTACTGTTAAATGATGCTGATTAAGGTTTTTGCTATGTTTAGCCATGACTATGATGTCATTTTCTATTTTAATATCTGTCATGATGTATTTAAATGGGCTTTTATGGTTACAAAGGAATTTTATTTTTAGATATTACTGTAAAATGTTGCTGATTAAGGATTTTGTTTATTTTTAGCCATGACTATGATGTCATTTTCTATTTTAATACCTTTATTATGTAATTTCCATTTTTAGATATTACTGTTAAATGATGCTGATTGAGGGTTTGAATGCTGGGATTGATTTTGGGGGTAATTGCCTCCAAATTTTAGGAATTAGGGGGCAAAAAACAAGCATTTTTCTAGTTTCATGACAATAACTTGTGTGTAAGTGTATGGATATTTATGAAATTGTACTACAAGGTTCCATATCACAAAGGGAAAGCTGGAATTGAGTTTGGGGGTACTTGCCCAAAACGTTTAGGAATAAGGGGCCAAAAATAAGCATTTTTCTAGTTTCCAGACAATAACTTGTGTTCAAGTGTATGGATCTCTCTGAAATTGTACTGCAAGGTACCATACCACAAAGGGAAGGCTGGGATTGTTTTTGGGGGTAATTGTCTCAAAATGTTAGGAATTAGGGGCCATAAAGGGGCAAAAAAACAAGCATTTTTCTAGTTTCATGACAATAACTTGTGTGTAAGTGTATGGATCTTTATGACATTGTACTACAAGGTTCCATATCACAAAGGGAAAGCTTGGTTTGAGTTTGGGGGTAATTGCCCTAAACTTTTAGGAATTTGGGGCCAAAAAGGTGCAAAAAACCCAAGCATTTTTCTAGTTTCCAGACAATAATTTGTGTTCAAGGGTATGGATCTCTCTGAAATTGTACTGCAAGGTACCATACCACAAAGGGAAGGCTGGGATTGAGTTTGGGGGTGATGAATCATAAGGGGGTTTCAAAAAATTTGGGGGGGGATTTTTTTTTCCTTTTTTTTCTTTAAAATTTTCCATTTTAAATTTGTTATTTCTGATTTATATATAAAAGCAAATAATAATGATATGGTTTGAATAGGTAAATTAAAAAATTTTAAGTTCTTAGACTACTTTCATTCTGTGTGAGAAACCTATGCTGTGTCAAATATTTAATTACAATCCAAATTCAGTGCTGTATCAAGCTTGAATGTTGTGTCCATACTTGCCCCAACTGTTCAGGGTTCGACCTCTGCGGTCGTATCAAGCTGCGCCCCAGCGGAGCATTTTATTGTCATCTGTACAACAAATTCTACATCTGGGGATCATGAACATTATGGTCTTAGTGTAAAACACCTTAACTTTAGCAATTTTTCAAAACAAGTTAGGTTAATTTATATTTTGTCAGAAGCTATTTGTGAAAAAAATCCATGTTTAAAAAATTATGACTTTACGCTAACATACACCTGACTTCTGTTCAGCTAAGAAATACATATAAAAGGTAACAGGGATCACTACAAATACTGAATAGTACAAGAAAACCACATTAACAACCAAAATCAACTCCTCAAAAAAAAAAAATGTTATATTGGAATCTGAATGTCCTGATACAATATTAATGACCATTCTGATCTTCATTTTTGTTCACAGGGGATATGGGTTTATACTCCCTGTCAAAGTATTCAATCAAATTGTAGGATTTACTGGGATATTTCACTCCAGTATAATATATGTGTATGGACTACTACATGTTAACATGTCAACAAAAATAACATTATGAGTCATATATTCATTTGATGTATTGCCTTCTGGTGTAATGCAAAAAATAAAAAATCAAGGTCATTGTGTTTAGAATTGAGATGATATATGTCATATTTTATTTATTAAAGTTAATGATCTTGATTTTAACTGCAGGGTATACATACTTATTCAAATTCTAATCTACTTGGTAAAGCAGCTGTAAATGACCAGTTTACTCAAAGACAAACTGGTTTAGGAGGAAGTGGACAGTTATCCCCAAAGTCTGGTACCAGTCAGAGATATTCGAGAATAACCAATCAAACTCAAGATTATCAGTCACATGATTCTAGTAAAAGAACATCCAGTTCTAAATCACATGACCATGTAACAGCAAATAAACAGGAAAGGTCATATGATAGGTCAAGAGGTGATGGTAAAGACAGGAAAAATTATTCAGAAGAGAGAACAGATCAGCTTAGTAAGGAAAGAAGAGAAAACCACCATAGTACTAGAGACCAGAAAAATTATTTGGACGAAAAGAAGGATTACAGAATCAGTGATGAGAGGGATAATTATCATGATGCTAGAGACAGAAGAAATTATTCAGTAGAAATAAAACAAGAAAGGAGAGAAGACAGATGGGACGATTATCAGGATACTAGAGACAGGAGGAGTTATTCAAAAGAATTGAAAGACCAGAGAAACACAGATAGAAGAGATGATTATTATGATGATGGAGACATTAAAAGAAATATTAGAAAGGTTGATCATAAGGACACAAAAAATCATTGTCAATATGATAATGTCAATGATTATAGAGATTTGAGTATTGGTGATCATATGGACAACAAAAATGTCAGCCGATACGAAAATAGAGATATGGTCAGTGATTCCAGAGATTTTAGAAAGGAGGATCATATGGACAACAAAGATGGCAGTCGACATGTAGAGAGATATGACATCAGAAAAATGGATGCCAGGAGGGACGATCGACAAATTGAAAGATATGACGTCAGAAAACAAGCTGACAGAAGGGATGATCGCCAAATTGAGAGAAATGATATCAGAAAATTTGATGACAGAAAAGATGATCGACAAATTGAAAGATATGACATCAGAAAACTTGATGACAGAAGAGATGATCGACAAGTTGAGCGATATGACATCAGAAAACCGGATGACAGAAGGAATGAACGACAAATTGAGAGATATGACATCAGAAAACATGATGACAGATTGGATGATCGACAAATTGAGAGATATGACATCAGAAAACATGATGACAGAAGGGATGATCGACAAATTGACAGAAAAAATACTCAACAGCAAGGCAGACATTCTGATCCTGCTGACAGAAGGAGAGTTAATCAACTGGATGAAAGAGACAGAAGAGATGACAGGAAAGAAACAGCCTGGAGAGAAGACCATTGGTTTGTAATATTAAAGTTCATATTTACTACATGTATTATATATCAAAATTGCTTATGATTTGTAATAAATTTCTTTATGTGTGTGTTAAATCAAATCATTTGAACCAGGAGAATGAATGTGATACATGTACATGTATCATGGCATGCAGTTCTAATATTTTTCCTATTTTCCCTTTAGAAATACTTATTCCATATACTGCCCACATTTAAAACGGTGAAAATTTTGATAATCAATCTGTAATTCAATCTTTCAGACAAGGTGGGTACTGGTACTTTTTTGTACATGTAGTTTTCATTAGGATGATCATTTTGATTATCAAGAGTTTTATACAGGGATATCACATAAATGACTACAAAACTTTAAAAAAAGTCTTTATTTGGAAAGCAACTTTGTACTTTAGACTTCTCTGTTTGTTTATACATTCATACATTTATCTATATATATATATGTATCAATTCCACCTTCATGCCTAATATATCATGTACTGTGTTACAACTCTAGATTCTACTGATGAGGAAAGGTAACACTAGGTCACCAAAAAGCTGAATTATTAGTTCAGTCTAGGTGGCCGTGTGGTCTAGAGCGCTGGACACAGTGCAGGTGGTGTTGCCTCAATATCCTATTAGCATGAGTTCGAATCCTGGCTAGGGAAGAACAAAAATTTGCGGAAGCAAATTTGCAAATTTAACATTGTTGTGCTGATATTTAGAGTAATTATATATACATGTATATATATGCATTATTAAAGAAGTAGCTATAGGTATTTCGTTAAATTCAAAATTGTTTTTGTAGGAAAAGTGGAAATGATTCTTTAAAATCTAAGGGAGATAATCGAGACAGAATACAGGATGATTCAAGAAAAGCTAGCAGACAAGATTATGACAATAATGATAAAAGGAGGAGAGAAGATGACAGATCCAGAGACAAAAACTATATAGACAACAAGTCAAGCAGAGACAAGCGTCATACCAACAGGTTTGAGTCTTATAATACAAAAATCATTTAATTTTTAAAACAAATCTTATGCCCTTTTGAGAAATTACATACACCGACTTCTCTATTAAATATATACAGAAAAAAATATAGAATGTCTTTTGGGAAAATTATTGTTTGTTTATGATGACCTTCACTGCAAAGCGCAGATCTTTAAAATTCATACAACAGTACTTCATAAACACAAATATTTCATAGAAAATAAAAGGATATGGAGTAAATGTACATGGGACAAAATCGCACACAATACATGTATTTATTTACTATACATGTATTTATTTACTATCCGATATTATAGGTTATTACATAGTCTTTTGAGCAGCACAGTCAATACATGCAGATTACTGTGCATTGTCTTGCCTGAATGTATTGTTTTTTGGAGGGCATGTGATACAAAAAAGATCTCTAGTAGATTTTTCCTTAAAATTTCGACTCAGTGTCTATTTTGATATGCACTATTGAAATATATCATAATGACTTTCTTTTCGAGATATTTCAGTTTTAAATTTACATGTTTTATGTCAAAACACAAAAAAAAAATTCATTTTTCAATACTTTTCTGAAAAAATAACACACCTTTCAAACAGAAAGAGATATTTTCACCCTATTTTTTGCAAACTGTTCCTTAATTCATAAAATGAAGCGGAATGCGGTGAAAAATTTGTGAAAACATATATATATTGGAAATTAAAATCATAGACAATTTTCTTGCCAATACAAATGCATATGTAGAAAATTCTGTCCATGATAGTTTCTTTCAATTTCGAAATAATATTCTTGAAAAAGTACATTGACGATTACAAAACAAATGAGGGTCCATATTCTCATACTTAAGCTAGAAATAGAAAACCTAGTTTCCTAAATGCGGGAGAACCATTTCCATCTTTTGGCACTAAATTGAGTCACAGTGTATTCTTAATGCAACATCGTCATGCAATTTTCCTGTTGTTCATCAAAACATTATACGAATACATGTAACTGTCATATACAAATTTATTGATGATAGAAAAGTAAACAGTCTTCATTTGTCTCAAATTTTATGGCCCTGCAGTAAATTCCGTGTGCTCAAATATACAACATATTCGTTTTCCTTTGCAGATACTTTCAAATTCATGTAACTGATCTGATGACATCAGTGATTTTTCTGCAAATTTTGATTGCTTATCATAAGCAAAGACGGGAAAACAATTTGGACAAATTAAATAAATAAAATATTATCTGCCCTTGCTACTGTATTGTATGCCCTTAAATTCAGAAATCAATCCAGGTACTTCATATATGAAAAGCAAGCAATATATCCTCTAAATTTTAGAATTCATTCATACATTTTTGTATTATTCAAAATTATTAGTCAATTATGTGTTCTACAAGGATCACCAGTCCTTACATTTGATACCTTAATAACTAAAATATGTTCTACCTAGTTTTATATTTACACCTATGTGTAGGAACCATTTTGTTTTAAATATGTACATCTTTCCAGTATGATCTTTTTTGACTGGGCCCGATTAGGTGGTGATACATCTTACAAAGTCTATCTGAATCATTTTGCAAAGAATTCCTCTCAAACCGGTGCTAAGGGCCATCTTAAACTTGCAGTGAGGTGAGATTTTTTTTTTGCTCTGTGTTGAAGGCCTCACTGTGACTTTGATATGAAGAACAGCAATAAAAGCACTGTTCCTTTGATTTTTGTGTGTTTTTTGCTGTGCATGTACTGATTTTATATCATGGATGGATACCTCATAACCTTTGTTTTCAAATTAAGGTAATGTTATAATGCAAAAAATGCTACAGGTTGTTCATTACATTGTTAAAAGCTCAATTTTTTTTCAGAATAATAATTATTTATTACAGCATTGCTATAAATGCACTCGTTTATTCCTGAATTTAAATTATTTTAGTTTCTTAGAAACCAACCTTGTACAAGCATGATTGTTTAGACAGAAATAGAGTGTTGACACTATTATTTTATTTCTTAAACATGTTGAGTTTAGCATTTAGGTTTTTATTGTGTATTCATAGTGTTGATAAGCCATATACAAAAATCTTTATATCTTATACTCAAATCTCATCTGAAATTTGCAGATTTTATTTTTTTTTATTAAGGGGAGATAATTATTTTTTTATTTTATTTTGTGGGGTTTTCCTAAGGTAAAATATTTACTGTTAATCATTTATGTGTGTCATTAAGTGGAATCTGCAGGATATGTGATTCAGATTATCAAACAATTTGTGAATTAGCTCAATTTCTACAGTATTTGTTCCATTTCAAATCAAGATCTCAAATTTTGACCGATCTGATAGCCTTAATTTAGGTATTCTAAAGATACTACATATGCACAATTAAACTGAAAAAGATGATGTTTCCTAGGCCCTTTTTTCATTAAAAAATTTGAATTTATTTCAGAGCTTTTAAAAAACACATCAATGGTTTCTTCTATAAATCTACAAAGCTGATAAATTACATAAAACTGTTCATTTTTCAATTAAGATTTCAGTACAAGACATTTTCCTGGTCAGTTTTGAATTTAGACAAATAACATTGATACTTTTGAAATATTCTTCAAACCATTTTTACCCTGACAGCCCAGAAAGGAAGAAATTAAAGACAAAGGATAGTGGTAAGGTCTCACAGAAATCCCATCGCGATGATGAAGACAGTGGTCTAGATACTGATTTTAATGAATATTACGATGATTTAGAAGAGGAAATTCCTCAGTGGCTTAGATGCACACCGTCTGATGCTCAATTCAACAGAGATAGACTGGTAAGTTCTGAACACATTTAACTGTGAGTATTAGAAGGGAAGGTCTTATCTTTGAAGAGTTATACTGCAGGTTTGTATAGAAAGATTTTTAAAAACAGTAGATTCAATGGAATGTATGATGAAAATGGCTTGCAAGGAATAATCTGAAAATATAAGAGAAGATGATGTATCTCTTTGTTTCATTCTTCAACTTTGTTAAGGACATTTACCATATTTACATATGTGATATGTCATGTGAAGCGCAGTGATTTTTATGCAAAACCTACAATATTAATGGGGCAAAATGTTTTCTGATCTGTGCTTCCGTACGTTCTTCGATCTCTTCATCAGTCCTTCTCATATAAGGATAAAGATTTGGTATCAGGTAGTTTTGGGTCACATCAATTTAGTACATACGTTCACTATGAAGTTAACTGTTTAATGTGTATATACAAAATTACAGTTTTGACCTAGATTTTGTGGTTCACTGAACATGGAAATGTGATAGTGCAAGTGAGTCATAGTGTCCTGTAGACACACATTCTTGTCTTATTTAAGATCTAGCATACATTCATTAGGAATAAGGAGTCAATGCAAGCCTTCCCTTTAAATTACAAAAGGGACACAAAAAATATGATTATTTTCAAGTTTTGGAAATTTTTTTATGTACCCTAGATAGTGTAGAACTGATATTGAACATAAAAGTAAAACCAATTATTTGATATAAATGTATAGCTTTCCCTTTCTTTGATTGAATAATTTTTAATTAACAAGTTAAAGTGTTAGGTCAAAAGATTGACCTAAATAGATGAATCCATTCAAATTTTACCATGAATGAAATAACTGAATTTTATAAAAACTTGATTTATCTACAGACACTATATTTTACACGCTTGCTTTCTATATTGTTTAGTGTCCCTTTTTGTTATGAAGTGCAATTAATCAAAATGGGTTTCAGAATGACCTGTTGTAGATTGTGGACCAGCTTTTTATATCACATTGCATGAGGAATTTGTTAAATAATTAATTTCTATATGCATTAAAAATATCAGTAATTTGAATTTTCATTAAAACAAGTTTTTCATTAATAAAGAAAAAATTTAAAGTTATCTTTAAAAAGCATGAGCCTTATATTGTGTTACTATCTCATTATTATATGAATAGCAATGCAGCTATGTCCTTTGGTTACAGGTGGATAGTTGTCTCATGGGCAATCATACCACATCTCCTTATTTTTATATGAGATGATTTGCCATAGGATGTTGAACACTAACTATTAATAAGAAATTAACGCTTGTTTGAAATGCAACTTCCAGGAGAGGCTAAAAATAGAAAAAAAATTAAAAAAATACAAACCCTACATGTATGTATAAGTTTTCTATTATCTTTGACAGAAGCTAGTGTTTCCCCCAATTGAGAGTCAGAAATTTATTTCTCAGCAGGTAAAAAATGGGAACAATTTCTATTTCTCATCTGTCCATTTAACTGACATGCTAATTTGTATGCAGCAGTATTACAGCCTGCACCAAAATCTTTTCCAACTACTAGTGCGAAAATCAATATTCAAACATTTTTCTTGTTGTGTTGAAACAAAGTTTGGCCAATACCTACTAATACTAATCCGAATATAAAACTTTACTAGTCTGGGGCTGGGGCATTGGACTAGTAGCTAACGGTGCAGATTGAGTATTTGATATATGATTAATATTTTCAGAAATGTAAATGATAATTGGAGAAATATGAGAAGTTGTAAAAACTTGTATACTTATAAATGTATTAGATTTAAGAAAAAATGCTTGTTCTTTTAGATGTTCAAAGACACAACTTTAATCTATGCCTGCATCGGAGGAAGAGATTTACATGTTGGACTGGATTGTGATGAATTTCATCTGGTTCCTGGTGCCATTCTTTCCCAATTGACAAATGAGGCATGTCAAAGAGCTTCTGAAATCCCAGGTCACAAGACCGTTTACTTCATTACAGGTATACCTGACCTTCTGACAACTCTTACATCACCCGGTTACGAGGAAACTATATTTGAAGATCGTAATCTGTTTGACACATTTTATAGCCAGATGAGACAAACCGAAGCGGCTTTAAAAATTCATAATTGTCATGTTGTTTTTGGTACGGTTGCAACAATGAGTCTAAAAGATTATAATGCAAACAATAAAAAGCTTCGAAAGACATACACGCTCAGGTTTGAGAAGAGTTATGCCGAAATGCAGGACAGTCTCCATCGCTTGCTGAAACAGATTAACCATACCATCACCGGTGTCAACACACGACAGAAGTTACTAACGCCATTTATTCATTCCCACCTCTGCAAGCGAGAAAAAAACAAGACCAAGTATCGAATGGACAAGTTGCTTGATGGATTGAATCCATGTGGAACTATTGTGGATGGGTGGCGGAACACCTTGAACAGAACTGTCCAGAGAAACAAAATTATGATGACCAAACCGGAATTTCTAATGAAGATGTAAAACATGGCTGTGTCATTGGACACTAGACTAAATTTTTTCACTTTTGCGTAAATTTTCAAATATCTTCATTAGATAATGGACCAAAAATAGAGATGAAGACATATCAAGCTTTTTTTATTTGGCAGATAAATTATACACTAAATTTGAAATAAGGTACACATGTAGAGGCAGAAATCTTAATAGAGAAAATTTGCATTGCTAACTGAAAACTTGGGTTCATCTTGAAAAGGATTTGTCCTTTAACTTGTAAATCTGCTTTGTGGCTTTGTAATAGATGGATCAGAATAAATCTACTGAATTTGAATGTGGAAGATATGGATACAGAAAGGAGAACTGGAGGTCCTAGATGTCTTTAAAATAAACTATGGAATTTTTTGGGAAATTGGTTGTCATTGATTCAACTGAACCAGAATATGATAAAACACATGAAACACAGTTCAAAAAAATGCCAGAAGTCAGCATTGAAAACATATAGTAAGATGTTTAATGAAACTGGACTACAGTAGCAATAATATGATTTTGATTTAACAGAGCAATGGAGAGATACTTTGTTGTTTGGAAATTATTACATTAGAAACTATATTCCCATGCAGACTGTAGGTATGTAAATTGAAATGTACACATAATGGTCTTTAAAGCAGACAGTTCATATACCAGTATTTGATCACATATATATTTAAGAAGAGAGAGAGACTCATCTTGCTGGCAGGTACCCAATGTTGATGGTTACTATTTATAAAAATGAAGCTGTTATGGATTTTTTGGGAAATTAGAGTTGAAACCAGAAAGCAAAATATTCATTTGGAACCTGCAGCTGAAAATTGGATGAAGAAGGGTTAGAAATATGAACTAGAAACAATCAACTTAAAATTTTAGAAGTACTTTTGTAACTTTTTATAGAAGAGCAGTTTCTCCAGAATCAGACAGTCAATATATTAGGCATGTTGGACAAATATTTACAGCAATGTAGATTCAAACACATGAATTTCCTAGATAAAGAGGCATTTTAACCTAGAAAACTGAATCCAGTTGGGGATTTGGTAAGAAGACACTTACCCATTAAACAAGCTCCAAGCTTTATAGGGGGAAATCATATAGAGTGGTTTATAATTTGATATATAAAACTTGAGTTTTGTCTCAAGCTTCCTAAAATTTGTAAATCTGCTTTGTGATTTTGTAATAGATGGATCGAAACAAATCTACCACATTTAAAGTGCCAAAGAAATGGATACAAAAACGAGAACTGGAGATCTTAGATTAGAAAAAAAAGTAGGGAGACAGTTGGAAAATTGTCAGAGACAATATTTTTGGGGGGAATTGTATTCTTGCATCAATTCCCCTCCTGCAACCATGATATAGAAATAGTAGCTGTAAAGTGCCATAAATGTTCAGCAACGTGATGTAACTTACAGTTTGGCATGCATTTTTAAGGCATGATATAAAATTGAAATCCAAAAGGTAACTTTCAAATAGTTTGTTTAATAACAAACTACAACCTTCTGATACATCAAATGAAGAATTAAGACTTTGTCGATCCAATGCTTTAACCTGATGCATCGCTGAATAATTTAGAGAATTTCTATTAGATGAGATTTTGGTAAATACGCAGTAGTCAAATTATTACAGAGAAGATGCAGGTACAGGATTTGTCAATTTAAAGGTTCTCTCACAATTTGCAATGATGGAAAAAATATTTGATGGAAGAAGTGACGGAAAAAGTAATTTGATGGAAAGACTGATTGAAAATGTTATTTTGATGGAAAAAGTTATTTTGATGGAAAAAGTTGTTTTGATGGAAAAAGTTATTTTGATGAAAAGACTGATGGAAAAAGTTATTTTGATAGAAAGACTGATGAAAAAAGTTGTTTGATGTAAACAATTATGGAAAAATTGTTTGATAGAAAAAGTAGGGGTGAAAGCAATTTGGTGGAAACTGCGATGGAAAAAGTTATTTGATGGAAACAGTGATGGAAAAAGTAATTTAATGAAAACAATGATGGAAAAGTTATTTGATAGAAACAATGATGGAAAAAGTAATTTGATGAAAACAATGATGGAAAAGTTATTTGATAGAAACAGTGATGGAAAAGTTATTTGATGGAAACAATGATGGAAAAATTGTTTGATAGAAAAAGTAATGGAAAAAGTAATTTGGCGGAAATCACTATGGAAAAAGTTATTTGATGGAACAGTGGTGGAAAAAGTTATTTGATGGAACAGTGGTGGAAAAAGTTATTTGATGGAAACAGCAATGGAAAAATTTATTTGATGGATACAGCAATGGAAAAAGTTATTTGATGGAAACAGTGATGGAAAAAGTAATGTAATGAAAACAATAATGAAAAATTTATTTGATAGAAACAGTGATGGAAAAGTTATTTGATGGAAACAATGATGGAAAAATTGTTTGACTGAAAAAGCAACGGAAAAATTATTTGGTAGAAACAATGACGGAAAAAGTTATTTTAATGGAAACAGTGATCGAAACAATGATGGAAAATGTTTATTTGATGGAAACAGTGATGGAAAAAGTTATTTGGTGGAAACAATGATGAAAAAATTAATTTGGTGGAAACAATGATGGAAAAAGTTATTTGATGGAAACAGTGATGGAAAAAGTTAATTTGAATGAAAACAGTGATGGGTAAAGTTATTTTGGTGAAAACAGAGATGGAAACAGTGATGGAAAAAGTTATTTGATGGAAAGAATGATGGAAAAAGTAATTTGATGGAATTAATGATGGAAAATTATTTGATGGAAACAGTGATGGACAAAGTAAATTTGAATGAAAACAGTGATGGGTAAAGTTATTTTGGTCGAAACAGAGATGGAAACAGTGATGGAAAAAGTTTTTGATGGAAAGAATGATGGAAAAAGTAATTTGATGGAATTAATGATGGAAAATTATTTGATGGAAACAGTGATGGAAAAGTCATTTGATGGAAACAATATTGAATTTACAGGAACAAATTATTTAATGCAAACAGTGATGGATGAACAAACAGATCCCGAGTTAATGGATAAATTATACACAAATGCTTCTATCAGAATATTTCTTTATTCAATGAATATATATGTATCAAGAATATTTTTTTGACGATTCTAGGGTGCTGTCGGAATGAATGTTGTTTAAACTATTTTCTTTTGCTCTCTTTAATTATAACTTCGTGGGAGAAAAAGGTTTCATTGTTTATGGAAAAGTCTTCTTTTGCTTATATATGCATTTGAATTATTATGAGAAGTCATTAACAGGAGAATGAGTGTATTTTTTTTAGTATTTCTATCAGTATAAATTTAGTTTCTCATACAGCATTAGATATCTCTTTTTTTTGATAAAAAACAATATCATTGTTCACAGTTAGATGTGTCCGTCCGTCCGTGTGTCCGTTCGGTCTTGTTAGCGCTCTCACAGGTACAATTACTGCCAGATTTTTATAAAACTTATACTAAGGGTTAATATCAGCAATATCTCAGACAAGTTTTATAATGGTGGCCGATTGTCTTTTTTTAAAAGAGTTATGCCCCTTGGAAATATTAAATTTATGGTAAATGGCCTCGTTATCGCTCTCGGGTGTACAATTCTTGCCAGATTTTTATAAAACTTATACTATAGGTTAATATCATCAATATCTCGGACAAGTTTTATAATGGTGGACGAACGACTTTTTATAAAAGAGTTATGACCCTTGGAAATATTAAATTTATGGAAATGGCCTCGTTAGCGCTCTCATAGGTACAATTCTTTTTTTTTAAGTTATTGCCCCTGGATAGATAAAATATGTGCAACGGGGGGGACATTGGAACTCTGTTCTTTTATTTAGATTTCAAAATTGGGACAAAGAACATTTTCCTATATGCCATTCACTTACTGGAAAACTTGTAATTTCCTCCTGAGTGGAAAGAGGCTAGGGATCTAGGGGGTTCGATTTTAATATGTGTAAATATCTCTAGCAATATTTTCAATAATTTTTCATTGAGAATGAATTTTTAGGGAATTTATGTTATTTGAAATTCTCTATTATTTTTTCAAGAATTTTAGAAGGATGCAATAGAAGAATCATGCTTTATTATATATTATCATGTTGCAAAATTTACTTTTATGTCTTCAAATATATTTCTTATATATTCAAGTTTAATGTATTTGCATTTATTATGTGTTGTTATTCCTATGAAATCTTTTGAAACTGTTAAATTTAGAATTTACTTATAACATTGTATCACCCACCTGAAGTTTTTTGTTCCAAAACAAAATGTATAAGATTAGAAGGGTTGGAAGTCGTTCCTCCCTCTCAAGATCAATCATTCACGATAGAAAATTGAGAGAGTTTATTTTCAAAGAGACATTGAATTACCAATCTACTCCATTTTTACAATTTGTATTCCAACCCTTCAAAATCATTGTACCTAGAACATGCCCATTGAATTTACATATTTTCTTATGCTTTGTTGTTTGAATGTGTTTTGCTTACCCCATTTAATAAAAATAGTTATCTTATACTACAAACAAGAAAGTTGTAAATATTCATTTTTCATCTACCTTTAAAATGCATAATAGATGGTATCAAACTCATTCTCTGACACTCTGGTGTCCACCTCATTCTCTGACACACTGGTGTCAAACTCATTCTCTGACACTCTGGTGTCAACCTCATTCTCTGTCACATTCTTACCATACTCATTCTCTGACACTCTGGTGTCAACCTCATTTTCTGATGCACATAGTATCAAGCTTATTCTCTGACACTCTGTTGTCCACCTCATTCTCTGTTACACTGGTATCAAACCCATTCTCTGACACTCTGATGTGAGTGGTGTTAACCTCATTCTCTGACACTGGTGTTAACCTCATTCTGTGATACTCATGGTATCAAACTCATTTTCTGACACTCTGGTGTCAACCTCGTTCTCTGATACACTGGTGTCAAATTCATTCTATGACACTCTGGTGTCAAACTCATTCTCTGATACACTAGAGTTCCTCATTATGACACACATATGTCAGTCTTATTCTCTGATTGCACCTTATTTTGCAGAATAGTTTTTGTTTTAAAAAGTAGATATGGAAACTGTCGATCAGAATATTGAATTACTAATACTAGATTTATAAAGTGTAATTTATATGGAAATATGAAAGTTTTATGGAGCTCTAGGTAATTCATAATTTACAACTCCACTAGTGCAATTGCAGCACAGTTGGAATTTTATTCAAATATTGAAGGCATGTGGAAGGAATTATTTCTTTATTGTTTTGAGGATTTTTAAACAAAGAATATTGCAGATATTCTTGAAAAGAAACTTCTCATGTAATGAGATTGTTGAAACAGCAAAATGTGAGATGATTTTAACTGATGGCGATTGTAGTAAGATACAGAAATATACTGAAACCATATATATATATAGTTTTACATGGATTTCTTGGTGATATAAACAAGTTGGAGGTTATCCTAAAAGGAGAATTAATTTAATGTAACAATGAAATAGTTTCATATTTTAAGTTGAAGATTTAGAGGAGAGTGTAGTTTATACCAAATCGTGAACACCTGGAAAATTAAAAAAAACGGAGAGAGAATCTGTCAATTTTATGTACCTGTTCAGAAATAATTTTGGAGTGTGAGAAAGTCCAATTTTGGATGATCTGATTGGTGTGGACATCATTTACGAGGATTCAAGGAGGCTGAGACTGCTATGTAATTAAGAGGAGATCTGGAAATACATGGGCTTAGTTTTCTCCATAGAAAAAAAAAATATGATGAAAACTGGGAATTAAGTTTCATCCAAAATTTCCAAGTTGCTGTATTTTTTCAGCAAAAGAATTCCTGTTTGCTTTAAGATTTCGAATCTTAAAATGCAAAAAGTAACCATATCTGTTTATGATGAGAATTGGTATTACTTTCTAGTGCTTTACTTTCAAAACATTCTTTTGACTTTGATGTGTTGTGATTAGTTCTGTAGAGACTTCTGGTAGAAAACTCCTACAAACTGTGAAATTCAGTTTGTAACAGACATATTGTCAGTCTGTGTCATCTGTGTATACCTGAGATCTTTTTCTATACATTAAAAAAATGTAAATTTCAGTTAATTCTCTAGAAAATACTATTTAATACTTTGCTATTATCTATACAGAAAAAGCGTGGAAGCGTGATAACGATCGATGGAGTCCTTGTTTTTCATACTTTACAATAAATTAGGGTAAACAGTTTTATTTGTAACATGTTTTGCATTTCAGAGACTGAATAAAGAAAAAAATCATTAAATCTCCCTATGGATGTATAGTAAAATACATGTAACTTTAAAAAATTAAGGAATATTCCTTTAATCAGTTTCTGTATAGAATCTTTGAGCTGAATATCATTTCTGAAAACAATTTTATTCTATAATTGTTTACATTTAAATAGATACATATTTGCAATCTGTGAATACAGATTTGTTGATTTATAAGGTTTACAATAGACAACAGCATGATGGTCTCTTTTCTGAAAATATTTCGACAATAGTTGTTAGACACTTTGATATAATATAAACTGACATGACATGACTGATGGCAGACACAGATGGATGTTTAAATTTAAATGGAAGCTTTCCAGCATTCAATCATATTTTAAGGATGAAAAAGTACCATATTAATAGCAATCCTGTGTGTGTGCAAAACAATGATTTAGTTACATTTAAATGCTATTGACATACTCTGCATGGAATAAATATTCTGACATTGACTGCAAAAAGTCTTTGTAATTGATCCTTACTGCTGCTTGTAAGCAGAGAACAGCAGACTTTGTTAGGATAATGGCTTTAGCACATGGTGTATTTTACACTGTAATGATGCAACAGGTCCATTCATAATATATATCAGTTTATTTCATAACACTTTAAAGCTTTGTTTAGGGATATCTCATCCCTAGAAAACTGTCTCGGTGGTCTCGTGGAAGCTTGTGAAAACTGTCTCGGTGGTCTCATGGTAGCTTGTGATCTCAAGCTGGGTCTAACCAAAGACTTCAGAATAGAAAGTTGCTTTTACTCGACTAGGGCTGACACCTATTGAGCTAGCATATACATTGTAACTAGTAGTTTAGCCTGGGACTCGATGTGTTGGTCTAGTACAAATAAGGATATACTAATCTCTCTATCAAATTGTTATCCTGAAAATGCATGTAATATTTGATGCTGGATGTTAAGCAGGTTCAATCAATCAATCAGTCATTCCCTAGGTTTGTCTAATTGCATACTCAGTATCCCAGAAAATCAGTATTAATATAAAATAGAAGACATGGTATGAGACTTATTTCCAGCAAAGTATCAGAATCAGATTAAAAAAAAATCAAATCGACAATTTATCAATTTCATGCATCCAAAGCACTATTCTAGATTTACCGTCATCAGGAATGCTCAAAGCCGAATATTTGAAAGCCTAGGATGTATAAGAACCGAAACAACAATTGAAGAGCTATATGACCAAAAAGGACCTAAAAACTAATAGCCAAATCCATCTAAGGTCTATTCCCCTGAAACCAGTATTATCAAGCATTTCTAATTTCAGAAATAATCCATATAATCAATATAAAGACATTTTAAGTGTACAAATATACTATAATAGTAGTTCATTGGTTTTGGCTGTTCTTACTTTTAGTCTTGAGCATAGAGGTTGAAGGTTATTCCACAAATGTGTTGTAAGCACAGAAATATGTATCATATCTTTTTATAAAAATGGTGACAATATGATATTCTTTAGTAATGTGAGATCTAAATAAAAAAAGATTAAATAAATGATCATAATCATCATGTTAATGAAGTTTATTTGGATTGTGTAAACTACCAATATTTCCAATTGCTGTACATAATTTGGTGTTTGATAATTATGTCTAGATCCACAACTGATTCATCTGCTGGTGTTATAGCATTTCATCCTTAACTTCCAAAAAATTTTAACTGGCACTGTTTCATGTGCTTGTGAACAAATGACTTGAAACTCATTTAATATTTCTTAAATGACGTATAAATTCTTGTTGACTTTTGATGGTCAATTTTGTCGAATTGAAGGATCCTACTTATGACAGAGAGGGCAGCAAATGAAGCCAAAATCAGCACAAATATAGTAAATTCTTTTATCAACATGTATGAAAAAAATACAGACAATTTCTTATAAACTATATTATGCTTTCAAAAAGCAATGGTCTCTTGGCCATGTCATGTGGTTTTTCCCACATCATTGGAGTGCTTAGATGCCTGTTATTTCATAATTTATTGTTTCTAATCCTTCTTACATCTATCTGCGATGGTGAGTTTTTCTGGAGACAGACACAACTGCTGAGCTCACTCTTGAAGCAAACCTGGTTCATATGTTCTAGTGTTCTGCAACAAGACATTTGCTTACACAAGTTATTTTATTAACTTCATAACATTATTTCTTAGTTGTCAGGATTTTCAGAATCAAAAGCCACCTTGATTTCTTGCCTTAGAGATACCACAAAGAATATCAATCTCAAAGTTCATAAAAACATGTATATACACCCATATACTTATATGAATATTAACTTTTCCTAGGAATCATATCCATTTCTTCAAAAGAATTTCATTTCTGTGAGAAAATGTTTACTGTCGACTGTGAGCTATTTTCTGAATTTTAGATCTCCAGCAACAACCTTCCTTTAAAAACAATAATGTCTGATTCTGTGATGTTTCTTGGTTATTTTCTTTTGAATTAATCTTTTGATTCTAATCTTATTTTTATCTTTATTGAGTAAAGGAAGATATGGGGTAAACATAAATGAGAGAGCAACCCATGTCAGGTTTTCTATCAATTGACGTATCAGACTAGAGGATTCAAATATTGGTTCAAATGCACATACCATATGACAAAACTCTAAATCAATTTGTACTGGACATGCAGTGAAAGGATGACTTGATATCAATACTCTTGGTTCTCATTCTGTTTTTATCTTGAAATTTCTTGGTCTTGGTATTTACCACATGATTTCATATGCTCCATTAGTTTCTTAATCATCTGTTGTACAACAATTTTTTTAAACATTGTCATCAAATTATATATTTTAACTTTCAGTGATTTTTTTGTTATTTAAGCTGCAACTCAATATAGACAAATTTTAGCATGCAGGAAAAAATGTCTATGGCAGATTAAGATTTGGACGAGCTTTAGCT